CCTAGATGTCCCCTGAAACCATGGTCCGCAGACCCCGCATCCCTGCTGCTCTGTCTCTCAAAGTATTTGATTGTATTGAGGAAACTTCTTAGCTTTGGTTTAGTTCAGTTGTGCTGGCTTCCCCTGTAGTGTGTGCTGTCCTTCCCTTCACCTAAGATGATTCTTATCTACTATCTACTTAGTGAATAACCCTCATCTTCCCTCCCCACACCCATAACCATCAAAGAATGTTTTCTTCTGTGTTTAAACCTTTTCTTGAGTCCTTATAATAGTGGTCTTATACAGTATTTGTCCTTCTGTGACTGCCTAAATTCACTCAGCTTAATAAGTTCCAGCTTACACCAAGTTATACGATGTTTCACAGCTTCATCATTGTTATCGTCGTGTAATATTCCATTGTGTGGCTATACCATAGTTTGTTTATCCATTTGTCCGCTGATGGGCACTTAGGTTGCTTCCATCTTTTTGCTATTGTGAACAGTGCTGCGATGAACATGGGTGTGCATATATCTATTCATGTGACGGCTCTTGTTTCTCCAGGATATATTCCAAGGAGCGGGATACCTGGATCGTATGGTACCTCTATCTCTAGCTTTTTAAGGAAGTGCCAAATCGCTTTCCAAAGAGGTTGTACCATTTTACATTCCCACAAGACTGTATAACTGATCCAGTCTCTCCACAACCTCTCCAGCATTTGTTATTTTGTGTTTTTTGGATTAATGTTAGCCTTGTTGGGGGTGAGATGATATCTCATTGTAGTTTTGATCTGCATTTCTCTAATGGCTAATGTTCCTGAGCATTTCTTCAGGTGTCTGTTAGCTGCCTGAGTATCTTCTTTGGTGAAGTGCCTGTTCATATCCTTTGCCCATTTTTTAATTGGGTTATTTGTCTTTTTGCTGTTGAGGTTTTGCAGTATGTTGTAGATTTTAGAGATTAAATGCTGATTGGATTTGTCATAGCCAAAAATTTTTTCCCAGACTGTAGGCTGTCTTTTTACTCTTCTGGTCAAGTCTTTTGATGACCATAAGTGTTTGATTTTTAGGAGCTCCCATTTATCTAGTCTCTCTTCTGGTGCTTGTGCATTGTTACTTATGGTTCGTATTGTGCTTATGCCACGTATTAGGGCCCCTAGTGTT